TTTATCATTATTATCATTATTATTATTGTAATGATAATCATTTCTATTATTATCATTATCAATTTCATTATAAGAATGACAATGATAATATCAACAATAATGATGATGATAATGATGATGATGATGATGATAATGATGACGATGATGATGATAATAATAATAGTAATGATGATAATAATGATAATATATTTAACAATTTTATCATTATCAATACTAATGATAACTATGGTAGTGATATTAACAATGATGACACTACTAACAACCATCATTATTATAATGATACTAAAAACAAAAATTTCAATAGTGATGAAGATAATTAATAAATCATAAACGATGATAATAAAGATGACAAATATAACGATAATAATGACAATACGTACAGTGAAATCACAAAAAGAAAAATTACAGTGATAATAATAACAAAGTAATGATGAAATTACTTATAATAATGACAATAACGGCAATTATGATAATAAAGATAATGACAATAACAATAATTTCGATAATAATAATGATAACAGAAAAAGTAAAAATGATAATGAAAATGACAATAATGATAACAACAGCAACATTGATAATACTGAATATAATAAATAATAATAATGATAATGATAATAATAATTATAATAATACTGATGATGATAACAATAATGATCATAATAGTAAAATTGATAATAAGGATAAAAATATGATAATAAAGATAACAGTTGATGATAATAACGTAAAATAACAATAATAATGATAATGATGGCAATAACAAATGATAACGTTAATAATGGGCAATGAGAAATTATAATATTAATGATACCAATTATAATGTTAATAATAATAATAATGAAAATAATAGTATTGATAATAATAATGAAAATAATAGTAGTAATAATAATAATGAAAATGATAATAATGAAAATGATGATAATGATAATAGAAATAATAATAATAACAATGATGATATGAATGAAAGATAATAATCATAATAATAGTCATGAAAATGGCAACAATAATACTATTAGTAATGATTATAATGATAATAAGAATAATAATTTTAATAACAATAATGACAGTAATAATGATAATAATTATAATAGTAATAATAATAATAACAATGATAATGATGATAATAATTATGCTAGTAATGATGATGAAAATATCCATAATGCTATTAATAATAATAACAATAGTAATACTAATATTAATAATGATAATGATGACAAAGGTGATAATAAAAATAGTAATAATAATATAACAATGATAATGATAATGATCACGGGAACACCAACAATAATAATGATTGCACTATTGATGATAATAGTAATAATAATGATAATAACAATAATGATAATAATTCAAATAATAATAATCATAATTATAATAATAATTATCATAAAAATCATACAAATGGCAATAGATAACGAGATGATAATGATAGTAATAGTGATAAAAGCAATAACGATGATAAAAATAATAATAATGATAATAGCAATAATGATAATAATCATTATAACAACAATAATGACAATGATAATAACAGTGATAATGATAATGATGCTGATGATGATGAAGATGAATGATGATGATGATAATACAATAATAATAATAATAATAATTAATTATTATTATATTATTATTATTATTATTATTATTATTATTATTATAATGATAACAATAATGACAAAACTAATGATGATAAAAATAATAAGGAAAATGATGATAATAAACATAGTACTTATAATACAAATAATGATAATAATAATGATAAAAAAGGACAAAATGATGATAATAATGGTAATAATAAAAATAATGATAATAATGACAATAATGATAATGATAATAATAATGATAACAATATAATAATAATAATAGTAATAACAATAACAATAATGATTATAACAACAATAACAATAACACTGATGATAGCGAAAATAACAATGATCATGATAATAATAATATAATGATAATAATGACAATAATAATGAAAATTTTATTAATAGCAATAATAGCAACAATTATGGCAATGATAATAATGACAATAATTATGATAGTAATAATAATACCAATAATGATAATGATATAATGAGTGTAATAATAGTAATAATAATAATAATAATAATAGTAATAATAATAATAATAATAATAATAATGATAATGATAATAATTATAATGGCAATAATAATGATAATAAGAACAAGGATAATAATAATAACAATAACAATGATAATGACAATAATGAGGATGATGATGATTATAATAATGATAGTAATAATGATAATGATGAAGATGATAATAGTGAAAATAGAAATCATGATAATGGTGATAATAGTAATAATAATAGTAATGATATAATAATAATAATGATAATGATAATATTAATAATAACAATAATAATAATAATAATGATAAATAATAATAATAATAATAA